GAGGAAAAGACTGTGCTGACAAGCACAGCAAGGCACTGCAGTAAGAAGGAACTGCTGGGTTGTTTTTTTTTTTTTGTCTTTTTCTGTGTCCGGCAACGGATCGCAACCCTCGGCGTCGCTCCCGCACCTCGCTCAGCCAGTGAGCGGGAACCGGTCTGTATGTGGGATCCGAACCCTCGGGTGGGAGCGCCACCGCACTTCCCAAGCGGCGCACTGTAGCAGTGCGCCACTGGGCCGGCCCAGAAGGAACTGCTGTTAACTCACTCTTCCTCGATAGAAATGACAATTAGCAGGAAAATAATTTTCTTAAAAACCACCAGGATTACACCTCTCTGCTCCAGATACACATGGCCACATTACTGCAGAGTTAGAGAAATGGAATTATTGCTTTTCCTGCCCTAAAAAGAAAACTTTATGCTACATGGCAAGTGGAATCCAGTGAACAAACACATCACATGTTGAGAGATTAAAAAACAAAAACCACTTTCCTAGCTGAGTCCCTGTAATGATGTGAACAAGAAATAAGCTGTCGATGGCAGGGAGATGGGAGGGTGTGCAGCAGATGAGGCTCTAATTCTGACCCCACCCGAGACACAGGCCCTTCGGGTGGGAAGCAGCCTTTGCTGAATGAAGTGCTCCCTCTGTTGAACAAGAAATAAGCTGTCGATGGCAGGGAGATGGGAGGGTGTGCAGCAGATGAGGCTCTAATTCTGACTCCACCCGAGACACAGGCCCTTTGGGTGGGAAGCAGCCTTTGCTGAATGAAGTGCTCCCTCTGCGTGGAGGGCCCCCACTCCATGTCCATTCATCAGGACTCACCCTAGTCCTACCTCCTCCCCAAGGTCTTTTCCACACTTGCACATTGCTCTAACATGTTCCTTCAAGACTCTTATTTGGGTTTTTCACAGCCTGCCCTGCACCGTAATGACCCACAGCTTCATGGGGCTTGTTTCAGGTCTCCTTACTTGGCTCCCAGAAGGGAGCGTGTCATGCATTCTTTTTATAATTCCCTCTTCCTCCTCTCAGACCTTGCAAACTGCAAGTGCTCGATCAATGCTCTCATAATGCCATTTGAGGTAACTGGAAAGTGATTGTGATGACTGGCTAGCAGCCGGTGTTCCTTGCCTTGGGCCCTTGTGGGTGGGCTGGGGGGAAGCAGGGTTGAGAGGCAGGCTCTGAGGGGCCTGGCTGAGCCCCTGCACTTGAGGGTGATCTGCTGTGGGCAGCTGGATACCACAGAGCACACCTATCTGGAGGATGGGGAATGGAGGCCTGGGAGAAGCAGGGGGTGGAATGGGAAGGAAGGAGACACATTTTTTAGGAAAATATAGGAAGTCACTGTCTGGTCTGATAAGGAGTTTTGTAGATTCTCTATAGCTTTTTGTTTTTGTTTTTAATACAATCTCTCAACAAGAAAAGACCAGGATGGTAGGCACAACGAAGCCAGAAAACTGGCCACGAGAGGAAAAGTCCTTCTTCCTCCTGTCACCAGTGGACAGCAGGTGATGGAGCAGTCCTCTGGAAGGCATGCTGCTCAGGATGGGCTTGCTGCTGCTGCCTGCATGGCAACAGGCTGCTGTCTTGAGGGTGCTGACCGCCACATCCTCTGCTTGCAGAGGACCAGCATTCGAGGCTAGGTCCAATACAGGTCCAGTCACTACCCAGCACTGCTAGGGAGGGAGTGTGTGCACCAGGCAGAAGAGCCAGACTCAAGGAACGCAGGCCTAGGAAGAAGGGGTGGAGAGGAAAGGAGAGACTAGTGGCTCCATGCTGATCTTAGGGCTCTTTCTCTGCTCCTTGGGTACCAGGGACAGACCCTAGGCCAGGAATTCTGCACACCAGTCCTGTAAGCACCTTCTCTGGCACTTAAACAGTATTTCTCCTGAATTTCAGAGACAGAAATCTGTCTATCCTTGAGCAACTGCAGCGAGTCGGTGTGGAATTCTAAGTGTCGATACACTGCCCAACTGTGAGGTATGTCAGACATTGGCATTCTGGCATTTTAATCCCTTATCATGAGATTTCCACCCTTTGCCATCTTCTTAGAACTCCTGGATTTCCCAGAGCCTGACAGAGGATCAACCTCTCAGCTCCACTCAGCAAACCCAGAAGCTTCTGGGGAGAGTTAGTACAGGTTGAGCATTCCTAACTGGAAAATCTGAAATGCTCCAAAATCTGAAAATTTTTGAGCACCAAAATTATGTTCAAAGGAAATGCTCATTGGAGCACTTCAGATTTTGGACTTTGAGATTAGGGATTATCAACTGGCACAAATTCTGCAAATATTCCAAAATCTGAAAAAAACTGAAATCTGAAACACTTCAGGTCTTAAGCATTTCCGATAAGGGATACACAACCTGTAGCCATTTGTTCATCACAAATCAATTGCTTAAGATCATGCAACTCCCTGATCTCTCTGGCCCACAGAGAAAAATGCACATCACCTAGCAGTTGGCTTTTCAGTTCTGCTGTCCAGTGGCCAACCTGAGACTCTCTCTGGAAACGTGGCATCTGCACATGTGGATCACATGAGAGCCACACACACCACAGTGCATCTTAGAACAAGGTTTTTGACCTATAGAGCCTGTCCTCTGGGCCAACCTAAGCCCTGGAAGGCAGAATAAGTGGTGACTTCCCCAGTGGGAGAGAACCCAGGGGATTTTCTGAGAATAAACCTGTCCCAGGGGTCTGACAGGCACAAAGCCCACTTCAGGCTTGTAGTAGATGAGTGATTATTTACACTGGGGACCCCAAAGTATTTATATTACTCTCTCTACCACATATCTCCAACAGAGAGGACAAGCTTGTGGAAATTTTGATTGGACTCAGAAAATTCATATGTTTCTTTGAAGTCATAGCTATTATGCTTCAAAGGCGAGAGTATGGTTACTCACTACCACCAACTTGGGCCTGGACTTACCCCTCTGACCTGTCTCTAACAAGTAAACCAGTCCCACCTTCCCTGACAACATGAATCATTATCTGTAAAGTGCTTTGTAATGCTTGGCTGCAGGAGCACTGTGCAACTGCCTGAAGCACATGGTCTCAGACATCACCTGGCACTGCTGCCTGGGAGGGCCACATGCTGACAGCCTTCCTAGAGGACACCTCAGCAATGGTATTCTCCTCGTCTGTTAAGATTTATTGTTTTTGGGCCGGCCTGTGGCTCACTCGGGAGAGTGCGGTGCTGATAACACCAAGGCCACGGGTTCGGATCCCAGATAGGAATGGCCGGTTTGCTCACTGGGTGAGCATGGTGCTGACAACACCAAGTCAAGGGTTAAGATCCCCTTACCGATCATCTTTAAAAAAAAAAAAAAAGATTTATTGTTTTGTTTAAGCAAAGACCAAAGGGGTAGCAAAGAGACAAAAATTAAAAAGGCAATCCTCACCATGATGAGAAGCAAGGAACTGGGCCCACTGGACCCAAAAAGTAGCCTACGGTAACAAGAGGATCCTAAATGGGGACACTGACAAAAGAAATGCAGACCAGGCTCACTCTGCCTTAGCCATTGTTGATGATTTGAATGACTTCCATATTCTCACTGGGAAAGTGTCAGGCCATAAAGTCACAGCTACAACTTGGGAGTTTCTGGAGCAAGTCAATCTCCCAGGGTCACTGTTGGCTGAGCCCTGGTGCTACTTCCTTCCACTCAGCCTGGAAAGACCCCGTCTGGCCATTTGATAACAGTTTTACTATTTCTCCACTCCCTGCTCCTACTCACCCAAGTACCACTTCTTGGAAGGTGAAATGAATTGAACTGTGTCCCTCAAGTTTTACATATTAGAAGATTGATCCCCTTTTTAACTGTTCAGAGTGGGAAATCCTATTATGGTGATTGAAAGGTGGGGCCTTGAAGTAGTGATTAGATTCTCAGGACCATGCCTTAATGAATGGATTAATAATGGTAGTCATGGGCGTGGTTCTAAGGGCTTTATTATTATTATTATTTTTTAAAAAGATGACCGGCAAGGGGATCTCAACCCTTGGCTTGGTGTTGTCAGCACCACGCTCAGCCAGTGAGCTAACTGGCCATCCCTATATAGGATCCGAACCCGCAGCCTTGGTGTTATCAGCATCGCACTCTCCCGAGTGAGCCACGGCCGGCCCTGTTCTAAGGGTTTTAAAAGGAGAGCATGTGAGTCTCCCTTTCTCTGCTTCTACCATCTCACAATGTGATACCCTGTGTCACTGAAGCCTTCACCAAGGAAGACCCTCACCAGATGTGTTCCCTGGACTTTGAACTTCTCAGCCTCTAAAACTGTAAACAATAAATTTTGCTTTCTTAGAAGTTACCTAGTACTGTGTATTTTGTTATAAAGCAACCGAAATGGACTAACAGAAAATTGGTACCAGAGAAGTGGAGTGTTTCTTATAACAACTATTTGGAACTGGATGTTAAGAAGAGCCTGGAAGAATTTGGATGAGGCTAGAAAAAGCCTAGATGCTAGTGAAAGTTTAGAAGACAAGAAAACCAGGGAAAGTTTGGAATGTTTTAAAGACTGATTAAATGGTGGTGACCAGAATGCTTATGGAAATATGGACTGTAAAGACTATTCTAAGAAGGTCTCAGATAAAAATAAGAAGGAATTTATTGGAAACTGGAGTAAAAATCACCCTTGCTATGAACTGGCAAGGAACTTGGCTGCATTCTGTTCATGCCCCAAAGTTTTATGGAATGTGGAACTTCAAGGTGCTGACCCAGGGTATTTGGCAGAAGGAATTTCTCAGCAGCAAAGCATTAAGGAAGCTGTATGGCTACTTGTAAATACAACGATGAGTTATGGCGGTAAAGGCATGGCATGAAGCCAGAATTTAAAAGAGAAGCAAAGCATAAAGATTTGAAAAATTTGCAGCCTGGCCATGTGATAGAGAAGCAAAGAGCATTTTCTGGAGAATAATTCAATGGCATAGCCCAGCAACTGTTTGATAAGGAGATTAGTAGAGAAGAAAAGGATTATCAACAGAAGGGAAAAAAGACCTTAAAGGCATTTCGGAGGTCTTGGAGGCTGCCTCTTCCACTACAGGCCCAAAGGCCTAGGGAATGGCCGCAGGGAATAGGCCTGAGGTGCCCTCCACTGGCTCGCTGCCCAGGACCACCTCAGTAAGCTGCTTCCCACATCAGCACCCCAGCTACTTTGGCTGCTCCAGCTGTGACTAAATTAGCTGTAGGTGTGGCTGGACCCACAGCTTTGAAAGATACAAGCTAGAAGCCTTGGCTGTGTCCAGGTGGTGGTAAATTTGCAGGATCATGGAATGCCAGAGCTGGGAAAGCTTGGGAGCCTCTATTTTGATTTCAAAGGATGTATGGAAAAGCCTGGGGGCCCAGGAAGAGATCTGTCCTATGGGTGGATTCACCAAATAGAGTCTGCCCTAGAGGAATGTTAAGAGGAAACAGGGGGTCAGAGTTGCAGTAGAAAAACACCACCAAAACCATGCCTAGTCGAGCTGTGGGTGTGGGACTGCCATGGAGACCCCAGAATTGTGGAGCTAATAACATGTAATGCCAGCCTGTGAGAGCTGTAGCATGGCATCAGACCAGTGAAGCCATAGAAGTGGAGCTGCCTGAGGACTTGGGGACCCAACCCCCACACCAGCATACAGAGGATGTTGAACATGGAGTCAAGTTACATGATTCACCAGCTTTGATATTTGATGCCTGCCCCACTGGGTTTCAGACTTGCTTAGGACCCGTTACTCCTTTCTTTTGGCCTATTTCTCTCTTTTCAACCGGGAATATGTACCTTATTCTTGTCCCACCATTGTATCTTGGAAGTAGATAATTCATTTTGGTTTCGCAGATAGGACTTTGGACCTTTTGAGTTGGAAGGAGTTAAGACTTTGGGGATGGAATAAATGTTATTTGCCTGTGAGAACGACATGAACTTTGGGAGCCAGGGCAGAATGATATGGATTGAATTGTGTCCCCCAAGTTTTATGTATTAAAAGCTTGACTCCCATTGTAACTGTTGAGGGTGGGAAATCCTATTATGGTAATTGAAAGGTGGAACCTTGAAGAGGTAATTAGATTCTTAGGCCCATGCCCTAATAAATGGATTAAAAATGGTGGTCATGGGCATGGTTCTAAGGGTTTTAAAAGGAGAGCATGTGAAACTCTCTCTCTCTCTCTGCTTCCGTCTTCTCGCAATGTGATACCCTGTGTCACTGAAGCCACCACCAAGGAAGACTCTCACCAGATGCATTCCCTGGACTTTGGATTTCCCAGCCTCTGAAACTATAAACAATAAATTTCATTTTCTTAGAAATTATCTAGTTCTGTGTGTTTTGTTATAAGCAACAGAAACAGACTAATACAGGAGGGGACCAGATTTATAACCAACTCAGAAAAGACCAGATCAAATTTGGCTTTCAAGGGCCGGCCTGTGGCTCACTCAGGAGAGTGCGGTGCTGATAACACCAAGGCCATGGGTTCAGATCCCATATAGGGATGGCCAGTTGGCTCACTGGGTGAGCGTGGTGCTGACAACACAAGTCAAGGGTTAAGATCCCCTTACTGGTCATCTTAAAAAAAAAAAATTGGCTTTCGAGATTTTGAGCCCCTCAATTTTTCTTCCTCTTTGGAGGTTTTATTAGAATAATCCCTTTCCTGCCCTTTTCCTAGCTAGCCTAATCTCAGAGCTCTAAGCTCTAAGGGCAAACATTAAAAT